CTGTCCTGAAGTCAGCTCATAGTGTCACAGGAAATATGAAATAGTATATCCCAACCTGTTAACTGTATGATATGCCAAGTTCTTGTTCTCTAGAAATTGAAGAATGAGCCAGGCGTCGGGTACTTGCCTGTAATCCCAGCACTTGGAGGCTGAAGCAGGAGGATCGCTGTGAGTTCAAGACCAGCCTGGGCTACATAGTGAGTTCCAGAGCAGCCTCAACTACATGGTGAGACCCTGTCTCAAAAAACCAAAAAACCAAAAAAAAAAAAAAAATCAAAGAATGAGTCCTAGGAATGATGGAGGTTAAAAGTAGGAAGATATTTATTGATAGGAAACTCCTGAGGGGCAGGAGGGTTCCCAAGTGGGGAGCAAGGACCCCACTTTAGAGAAGTTTTAGAGGGTGAAACCCACATGGGTACAACATGGGTCACAGCCATGAACATATCCAATAAGTTTACAAGTATAGTCACTTAGGTAATGGTGGTCCAATTAGGAAGCTAGTCATGTAGCAAGCGTGGATGGAAAGAAAAAGGACTCTCCTAGGAGGCGGTGGGTCCAGAGGTCTCTGGTCACCCCCAGAGTGGTCAATGCCTATCTATACTTCACTAAGCCCAGTTCTCTGATGAAGCATGTGGGTCTGGTCATCTTGTCTCCATCTTGAGGCCAGGTTTTCAGCTGGTATGTAGCTGTGGTGTTTTACCCTTGTCTTGGCCCTCTCAAGGACTTAGCCCTGACTGACTGCCTATAATATTTTTACCTAGCTCATCTATCTATAATAATGGCAGAGGAGGAGGAAGGGGGAGAGGGAGGAGCAGGAAGAGGAGGAGGAGGGGGACGACGATGAAAAAGAGGAGGGCCCCATGCCAAGCTTCACATCTTCCTACTTTGCCCCTGATCGGTGATGCCCTCAAGTGTCAGTCTCTGCTGCTTGACGAGCCTGGGCTGCCCAAGTGGAAGCTGAGGAAAGGAATCCCATCATTCAAGGGCTGCTCTGGGAAGACAGAGCGGCTCAACCATAACATTCCATCTTGGGGGGCTCAGGGGAGCAAAGGGCTTCTGTAGGGAAGGAAAGGAGCAGGGCAGGGGGCCTCTTTTTTCCTTCTGCAAAGCACCAGAGGCCCTGTCTTCCTGGGTTGGCTCCTGTGGGTCAGACTTGCTGAGGAGGGGTATTTCACTAAGCAAGCTCTGTAGAGCTAAATAAAGATTAAGCAGTTAATCTCTTAACTGTGTAGGTGGAGCTTCTTTAGGATTTAGAAAGCCAGGGAGGGACAAAAATCCTGCAACAGGATTGGGAAGGGGCAGAGACTTTGCAAAGGGCAAAGGGCAGGGACTAGAAGGACAACTCCAAAGGAGGGGCCCTGCACATTCCTTTCTCAGGGAAACCAGATAATAACACATCCCTCCTCCCAGCATGGACACTAACAGCTCCCACTTCCCTTTCAGAAGTTGGCCTAACTGGCGATCATCACAATGAGTGAAATAAACTGGACTCAGAAAGACAAATACCAAGTATGGGAAAATCTAAAAAAAGATGACAAGAAAGGTAGGAGACTGAGGCTGGGCATGGTGCCACACGCCTGTTATCCCAGCACTCAGGAGGTTTAGGCAGAAAGATCTCTGAGACTTTAGGGAAGTTTGGCTTACACAATGAGTTCAAGGTCAGCCTAGATACACAGTGACAACCTGTCTCAAAAACAAAAACAAAAAAGAAAGTAGATCATTATTAGACAAAGGAAGGGGGAGTAAGAGTAATGGGGTAATAGGATACTGGGGGCTGAGGAATTCACTCCCCTCTACCCACTTGAGCTCAAGCACCAACCAGCCTAAAGCCATCCCTCCCTAATCTCTCTCCACCCACCTGAGCTGGGAATGCCCTAGGAGCCTTCTATACCACCCCAGATTGAAGACTTTTCTCTTGCTCTTGAGCCCCAGAGCTTGATTTATCTGCAGTGTGCAGTTTCTTTTCTGTCACCCCAGCACCATTTCCCTGCTTGTAACCTTCAATAAATGTAGCTGCTTTTTCCCCACCATCACCTTTGTAATTCTTTGCTTGTTGGACACACGGACTTGGAACCTGTTCAATCTGTTGCACAGTAACTGGGGAATGATGTGATCAAAATGTATTACATGCACTGATCCCCCAAATGTGAGAAGGGGAGGGAAGGGCAGGGAGGTGACAGAGGGGTGAAAATGATCAATAAATATTATGTGCATGAGTGAATCTGCCAAAATGAAACCATTAATCTATAACCAATGTGCACTTAAAAAAAATGTGAAACAAGAAGGATGAGGAGGAAGTTGTCAAGCCAAGGTCTTTCTGTGGACCCTTGACATTGGCATTAACCAATGGTGCTCACTTTCCTTTCTTGTCTTCCTATCAGTTTGGTCTCAAGCACTCAGCAACCATCTCAAATTGTAGCTGCACCATCCTTCACAATGAGGCTTTACCCGGTCACTGAGCAGTTAGCAGAACAGGAAGACCTGGAATCCAAGCTCCAAACCGAGCCCTGAAGCCTTGGATGTGATATAACAACAAAGATTCACACAGTGCACCAGAGTCGAAGAGATGAGCCAAGACAGAACAGACCTGAGGGACTCAGACCACACCACGGGGCCCAGGGACAACTGGGATCTTTACCCAAGAAAAGCACCCCTACCCTGGGGCTGTCTGGGACAGCGCTCAGGTGCCATGGTCACCATGTTGCCTTGGTCCCCACCTTCAACTCCTTCCTGCTGCTGCCTATAGCCTACAGCCCAGTGCTTTCTGGAAGGGAAGAGTTATCTAAAGAACTTCCTGCCCTGGGCTGGGGCCTAGTTTAAATTATTGCATGAGTTTCTTCATGGTGAAAGCCCCTGAGGAATCACTGACCATCTCAAAAGGACAGAAAGACATTTTGCAATTCCCTTTTTTTTTTTTTTTTTTGGTTTTTTGAGACAGGGTCTCACTATGTAGTTGAGGCTGCCCTGGAACTCACTATGTAGCCCAGGCTGGTCTTGAACTCACAACGATCATCCTGCCTCAGCCTCCCGAGTGTGGGATTACAGGCGTGTGCCACCATGCCCAGCTTATTCTATTTTGTTATTAGCTATTGTTAATCTCCTTAAAGCAGAGCTTGGAGAAAATTAGTCTTCCTTGGCCTTAAGCAGCCTGTCTCTCTCCCTCCTTCTCTCTCTCTCTTCTTCCCTCTCCCTCTCCCCCTCTCTCCCTCCCCTCCCCCTTCTTCTCTGTCCCTCCTTCTCTCTCCCTCCGTTTCTCTTTCCCTCTCCCCCTGTCCTCATCGCCCATCTCAAATTCTTTCTCCGTGTAACTGCGGACCTCTGTTCTGTTACAGATAAGGTTAATAGTAAAATTCTTGCAGAGTCCTGTGATGTCCTGGTTTCTCAGGAATCTGCTTGACTTCAAGGCTGACCTCTGCTCTGCAACTGATAAGGTAGACAATTATATTCCTATAAAAGGAGTCCTGTAACATCTTGGAAACTGTTTTCTGTCAAGAAATATAGATAAGGTTGACAACCATGTTCCTGCAAACAGGGTCCTATGACATCCTGCAATTCCTGATATCTGGTTTTCTTTCAAGATTAAGTTGTAAAATGTCACTGGGTAAATAACTGCCTTTGTTTTGCCTCTGTAATCTTGTCTTGTCTCCTTCCAGTCTCACACCAATCCCTGCCAACCAAACATATAAAAACTGGAGCCTTTCCTTTGTTCAGGGATCAGTCCTTTGTACAGGGAGTCCAGCTGAGTTGGTGTACACCTGAAAATAAAATCCTCCTGTCTCCCAGTGGTCTCTGCAGTCTCGTGAATTCTGCAACATCCTGTTGTGCTCAACTTATAAATGAAGCATTGTTGTAGGTAAGTATGCATAAGACAAAACATAAAATATACAGGTTTGGTACTCTCTGCAGTTGTAGCCATCCACTGTGTATTGGTCACCTTCCATCAGTAGGACAAAATACCTGATACTTGTAATTTAAGGGAGCTTTATTTCTGCTCACTGTTTCAGAATGTCCATAGTCAGCTGTCTCCAATGCAGAAACATCATGGTGAAAGAGAGTGCAGAAGAAAATTCCTCAACCTGGGCTGGAGATTTGGCTCAGTGGTTCTGCCACCTGCCCTGCAAGCACAAGGGCCTGAGTTCAATCCCCAGTACAAAAAAAAAGAAAGAAAGAAAGAAAAAGAAAACTCCTCAACCCATGGCAACCAGGAAGCAGAGCATAAGGGAAGAGGGCCAGGGACCAGGCACAGTCCCCAAAGCTGTAATCCGATGACCCACCAGACACACTCAGAAATGTGTCTCACTAATCTAAGTGTATCTCGAGCCAAATAGCTGACAACCAAGCTTTGCTCTCACAGTCTATCTACTGTCAAAGTGACACTGATATAGAGTCCCTTAAATCACACTGAATCTCCCCATAAAGATATAACAAGGTTGGGCTGGGGATTCAGCTCAATGGTGCCACCATCTGCCTTGCAAGAACAAGGCCCCAAGTTCCATATCCGGTACCAAAAAAAGAAAGACATAACAAGGTCAGAGTTCTGCCTAACATGAAGTGAACTTTCCTGAATGCAACCAAAACCACATTAATTCCTTCCCCCAGCATCTCAGCAGTTCCAGCGCTACTGAAAAGTCCAAGTCTAAAGCTTCCTCTGAGACTCATGGTAAACTCAGCTGTGAGCTCCTATAAAATCCAAACAGCAATCCAGACATGGTGCTGCGCACCTGCAATCCCAGTATTCAGGAGACCGAGGCAGGTGGACTGCTGCCAAGTTCGAGACCAGCACAAGTTCAAGATTACAGTGCAAGACCCTGTCTCAACACACACACACACACACACACACACACACACACACACACACAAACAGCACTTAATCCCAAAATACAATGGTACAATGGTACATCATAAACATTTCCATCTGAAAAGAATAACAGAAAAGAACAGGGACAAAGCAAGACTGAAACCCAACAGGGGAAACATTAAATCCTGTAGCTCTGTGCCCAGCATTGAGGCAGGTTATGGTGAGGTGTTGGTTCCAAAGGGTTTGGACAGCTCTACCCCATAGCCTTCCCAGTTGCAGCCCTCATGGCCTCTTTTGGGCTGGCTCTTGCTCGCTGCCTGCGGTTTTCCTCAGCAGATGTTCCCATTCCAACTTCCTGAATCTCTACTGCAGCTGTGACTTCCCTCTTAGGCTTCACGCATCACTCTCTCAGGCTCCTGGCAGGGACTGTGACCCTGCTATACCACACTGCTTGGCCTCTCAGACCTTCCTCTGAAATTAGGGGGGAAGCCTCTGGGACTCCACAACTTTTGCAACTGCACATCTATGAAACCCTCACCAAAGTCTGTTGCCAGCTGAGCCATAGCTGTGCCCCTTGGATCAGGGCTGCAGTGCTCTGAGTGCCAGATGACTGAACTTGGGACACACTTGCCTCAGCAGCTCTGAGTATGCAGGGCATCTTGGGCTCTCTTCTCAAAGCAAAGTCTTTCAAAGGAATGTACCCTTTATACCCTCAGCCTGGGATGGGTAGGGTCTGGTCAATTCCCAAGATGCACGAAGTCACACACTGGGAGTCCTAGACTGTATCCTCAGTAAGGACGATGTTTTGTACACATCTCACTTAATCCTCTCAACAGCTCCCTCAGGGCAGGAAGTTAATACAGGTAAGAGTCAAGAGAGGTGAAGTCCTGAACCAAGATCCACTGCTAGTGAGTGGCCGAACTGAGATTTGAACCACAGACTGACTAGCTTCAGAGTTCTCTGTCTTTATATGCCCATATATTATGGGGACATATGATACACTGATCAGTCAGCAGGCCAGACTTTCTCCAGCTTTACCTGGCAATACCCTCCATCTCTGAGACCACAAGGAAGGATAACAGGTCACTTTTCTTTATTTTCCAGCACCCTCAATCTCATAGCATGGTGTATGGGAAATCTGAGAGTCCTGCCACCTCTGTGTGGCACCTGGGCTCCCCACCAAGGAATGTCCAGGGCCACCATGCCAGTGATCTCCAGCCATAGTGTTTCCAAAAACAATTCCTGGGGAAAAGGTAGAATCAAGGTCTCCCAGTCCCTGAGTTTCCCTTCCAGGGGCACAAGGATAGCCTCCCTGGCTTGCTGTGCCCATCCCAAGAAGAGATGAGGAGGGACCCCAACACGCAGGTATCTCTTGGTTCAAAGAAGCTAGGGCCTCAGCCATCAGTCCAGTCTGACCTTGAGCAGATCTGGACCTGCTTTCTTGGGAAAGATCCAAGCAGCCCCCTCCTCAGCAAATGCTGGGACCTTCACCAGATTTAGCTGATGTCCTCCTTACCAGCCTGAAAACACACTGAGCCAGGGCAACACCAGTGAACGAAGGCCAGGTTCAACTCTGCTGGATGCCATGGTGCTGGGAGAGGACTTCTTTCACTTTATCCACAATGGTCTCCACCTCAGCCATGGCCCCCATACCTGGATACAAAGTTCTCCTGTGGCCCATGCTTGCCCAAGTGCCCCACCCAGCAACCTAGAGCAGGCTTGGGAACCCTTAACAGTGCATGTGCCAGGCACTTCACAACACCACCCACTTCATCCTAACCCTTGGAGATGTGGGGATTAGGGCTCCCATCCTCCAGCAAAGAGAGCAGAACCACAATGGGCCAGGATGCCATCCTGAAACAGTGCCTGGGCTGTGGCCTGGCAGGGCACTCACCTTGGTCTCCACACACCAGCTTCTTGGCTATGCAGGGAACCTCAGTGTAGCCAAAGATCTTCAGCTGGCCCACCTGCTGGGCAGTGATCGGGTGCTCCCACATGGCTGTGTTCATGGCAGGACAGAAGAGCAGGGGCTTGCTGGGGTCCCAGGCCCGGATGACACAGGTCTGGGAAGAACGGGGTCCTCCTGCTCAGCTGCTATCCCTCTCTGGCCCCTCTAAATCCTCCAAATGTCCTCCCACCCATGGCCAGCAGCCCAGCTGCTGGCTTGGGATGGCAGGACATGCCTGTCCCTCAACCAACACCTGTAGTGGCTGGCCCCTCCCATGGGAAGCCTCCTGAGCCTGAGCCTAAGCCTAAGTCTCCTCCTTGCCAGCTGTCACCTCTTAGGTAGAAGCAGTCCTGGGGAACAGAGACTGACTTTGTGGTCACCAGGAAGTTGGGGACTGACTATTCAGAGGAGAGGGGGAACACCTGATACCAGCTCTACTTTTTTTTTTTTAATTTAATTTCTCTTTTCTTTTTTTGAGAGTGTCTCGATATGTAGTTCAGGCTGGCCTTAAACTCAGTGATACTCCTGCCTCCTGCTGCTAGTAGCACAAGCACACATCACAACATCCAGCTATCAGCTTGACTTCTGGGACTACAAAACCCTAGTAATTATAGTCCATCAAGTGATACACAACTCGCATGCATTATCTCAAGAGCCTTCACTTGGTCCCTAAAAGGAAGGTGCTAAACCCTCTCATGGATGGGCAGCTGTGCAAGGTCACACCTGGATGTGAACGTGGCTCTGAACACCTGTCACACGGAAGGCTGAAGGCTTCCAAGGCTGGGCTGTGTCCTGACCAAGTCACAGACCAGGGTCGGACCACCTCACAAAGCTCAGTGCTGTGGGCCTTGAAGTCCTGTGGGTCTGAGCACTTGTCTCTCACTGTGATAACCTGGTGGGTCATTTAACACCAGGACTCCAGCTTCCTCTCTGTGAACAGCCCCCTTGCTAGGTGTCCATGAGGACTGAGGTGTGACTGCTTTCAAACAGCAGCACAGGGCTGAGCCCTGGATGGCTCCTGTCAAGGCTACACTCACAGGCTTGCTGGGCTGAGGCTGCTGGCAGGACAAGGGACTTCCCTGTGCTGGGAGCTCCCTGGGGAAACAGGGCTGGAATCCCCTCCCAGAAGTAGAGTCCATGTGGGAAGAGGGGAGCCCAGGGCATGATGCCGGGAAGAGGCCAGGATACTGGCTGCCCCTTCCAGGTCCGTCCTCTCCTGGGACAGCAAATGGCCCCAGGGTCCAGCTACTTACGTCAGAGCACGCGCTGCTTTCCCACCAAATCTCCTCTGTGCACACCCAGACTAAGAGTGGACAGTTTTGGTCAATTTCCTCTTGGCCCAAGGCCACCCGCTGCTTCTAGAGGCCACAACATCCCTGGAAGACCCTGACTGCGGTGGGGGGCAGGGCTGGACTGGGGCTCTGAGCAGAAACCCAACAGCTCCGCCTCTCCTCATGGCTCCCCACCTCATGTCCCCGGCACTTCCTGGACAAACCACAGCGGGAGGGAGGAGGGGCCTGGTTCCCACAGCCAAAGGGTGGGTGCTGGGCTGGCACCTTGGGAATCGGCTAGGTGGGGGCTGGATCCACACCCCCAGGCCTGCAGCCTCAAGAAGTCACCTTCCCTTCCTCATTCTGATTGTGCATTTAGCACAAATTGGGACTGGTCTCTTTCCTCTCTGTGTCCCCTAATACAGTAGAAACTGAGTCTGGACCCTGCAGCTAAAGCTACAAGAGAGCTGGGCATGCACTCTAGCTGCTCTGTGAGGCAGCAGATGCCTGTATCAGGTTGCCCTCATGTACCCAGATCCCAGGGAGAAGGCAGAGGTCGAACAGCAGGTTGAGGACAGCAGGGACAGTGGACGCCTGGGTCCATCCAACCGTGCCTGGATCCTCTGCCTCTTGGAAAGTAAATGGCACAAGCATGGCAGGGCACTGTCCTGTGCACATCTGAGTCCCACAGTGACAGGGAGGCCAGGGGAGAGACAAGGGCACTGGGCAGTCACTCACAAGCAAGTTATCACAGATGCCACTGGCCACCTTTCCCAGAGTGTTGGCGTCCAGAGGTGCTACCACCATGAGGTCCGCCCACCGCCGCAGGTCGATGTGCAGAACCGGGTCAGAACGGTGCTTCCACATCTGAGAGGGAGGACAGGGTCACAAGGAGGACAGAGTCACAGAGAGGGCTGTGCTCTGTGTGGGTCTGGAACCCAGAGGGCCGTGTGACCTCCTAGCTGAGTCACCATTGTTGTCCCCCCGCTTTTTTTTTTTTTTTTTTTTTTTTTTTTTTTTT